AAATTTCTAAATTTATTGAATTTTTCAATTTAGGAAATACTTCTAACATTAATAGAGATTATGTTTAAAAATAAATATGGATTATTATTGACATAATGATTGAATGAATTAAAATTATGAAAGTTATCATTATAAAAAAGAAAAATAAGTTAAATAAAAAAGTTATTAGAATAAGTTGCAGTTTGTTAAGAAGATAAATACGTTTCATTAGTTTCACCATCATTTTCCTGTAAATCTTCTACTTGGTGCGATCGTCGTCCTTTTGGCTTATGTATAGCAGCTTCATACAACAGATTATCAATATCTTCTTCGTTTTTGATGATTTTTGGTCCAGAAAATTCGTTCCTCTTGATAAAAACTCTTCCACCAATCGAATATACGGCACGATAACCGATATTTTTTAAGGCTATGGCATAATTAAGCAAGCTTAGCGTTTCTCGGCTTAAGTAAACAGTTATAAAAATATATTTGTTCTTTTCTTTCAAAAATGGTTTCAACGACATGAATTTCTGTTTTCCTTCGATAGAATTGAATTTTACCACAACGACTTGTTTCTTCTCCTTTTTATCTTTATTGATTGAGGTTTTCTTATTATTGATAAAGTAGCCATTACTAATGCTCTCAGGTTTTATCTCGACCCTTGATTCATTTGAAATACTCAACACAGCATCAACAGCTGATGGACCAGCTTTAATATCAACATTACGAACCAAACAATCATATTTGACTCTCTGATCGTTTAAAAATTTATCAGAGGTTTTAAATGTCTCCACTTCAGCCTTAAAAACTTTATTTTCTTTCTGAACAATCTCCAGTCCATTAAGACCCTTTAATATCTCATCAAATTTGTTTGACATTAACTTCATACTCTCATGTATGATAGTTAATTGGTCAAATTTTTTAAATTCTTTTTTGATGTCAGCCAATTCAGCTTGTAGTGAACCATTTACTTCATTACACTGATGATAAACATATTCTTCATTTGTATGTGTATCATACTTGCGTTTGTTTATATTTGTACAAGACAAATGATAAAACCCTTCAAACATTTAGAAGACAAAACTATTGCGCATCACCCCAGACGCCACGTCAGAAACACTTCTGGACGGTTGTCAGACGAGAACGCACATTTTACAAAAACAAAATACATTGATTTCGAATTTTCGTCTTCTAGAAATACACTTTTAAGTTTCTTCCGGATGATAGTTAGAAGAGTCCATCCATTTGCTTAAACAAAAAACATTGACTGTTGAATTTTTTTCATCTGGAAGTATACGTTTTAGTGACTTCTCTATGAGAGTTGGGTGAGAACACACATTTTACAATAACAAATACATTGTTTCCTAATTTGTATCTTCTTGATTTGTATGTTTATGTCACTTCTGGAAGACAGTTTGAAGAGTGTTCACATTAATGTTGTATTTTATTCATCTGGAAGTGTGGATTGTAGTCACTTCTGGACGATTGTCAGACGAGAGCACACATTTTACAAAAACAAAATACATTGATTTCTAGTTTTCGCCGTCTGGAAGTATACTTTTAGGTTACTTCCGGATGATAGTAAAAAGAGTACAAAAACAAAAAAATATAAATACTCCATTTTTTAGCGTGAACGCGAAAAAAATAAAAATAAATAATGCAGAAATTTTGCTAAGTTCAGTGATGTTTTGCGTTTTGTCCAGTCATGTTCAGTTTTAATTATTCATTGTAAAACTTAAATGAGTTATTGAGTTTAATGTTCATAGAAAAATAGTGTAATTAATATATTGTAAATCTTAAGTAAGAAAAAACAATATGACAGTGTTGTGTTAAAAGTAAACTGTTAATAAACATTTAAGAAGGTTTTGTTAATTGGTGAAGTTTATTAAATTAAATAAATAAAATTGAAAAGTAAGTTGTAATATTTTACATTAAAATAGTACTATATTTTAGGAATAAGTTAACAACTCTAAACGGCTTCCATTTCCATTATTTTTAAACGAAGTCTAATATGTTTAATTAAAAATGTTTTTATATTAAATTTCGTCTCTCTCTTAATTGGTTTAGGAGTTATAAGCATTTAAAGACTTTTTCAAGTTGTAAGTTTCGGCTTTCATTTGATGAATATTGCATTTTTAACCTATTTAGATTTATTTGAATTAAATCTTAACTTTCAATATTTTTTAAACTATTAGCGCGTTTAGGTCCTTTTTCTAGATTACGTATGATCACTTTGAGCTAAAATTTTATTTGTATTTCATTATCGTAACCAAATACATTAAAATTTTTACTTAAAGTATTCAAACGCTATCTGGAATCATTATATTGAAATTAATACTACTGTTTTATACATAAATTATTTTTTGACTTGGGTCACTCGACACGAAATTGCCCATATAAGATATTTAATATTGAAAACAGATATTTTTAAACCCACCTTTTTTTAAATAAATACAATTTTATTAATTTTCATATAGCTTTGGATTTAATTATTCTAATTATAGGTACTTTTTTAGTTATTAACACCAGGTCTTTTTCTATGACCTATCATATGATACTAATATTCTTAATATTGAGCATGCCGTTCCCAAGATATTACCTAAGTAGATAGTTTTTGAACGTGTATAACTCCTTAATTAGAAGAGAGCAAAATAGTATTGCAGTATTAGTGTCAAAAGCAATATCCCGTTTAGGGTCGTTAAGGTGTTTCTATCGTTAGTGACTGTAAATAATTTTAAAAATAATCCATGGCTTAGTAATTTCAGATCTTTATAGATGGTTTAATTCCAAGTTATTTAAAAAATGTTTATGAAAGGTAATGTTTTTATTGATTAAAAACAATAAATAAATAAATTAATTTTTAATTATTTTATTTTTTTAGAAAGTAGTAGCTAATATTGTACCCCCTATTAAAATACTTCTAACCGAATTAAAATATAAAAAAGGGATCTGGTAAGTTATATATGTCTTATTTCATCACGCGGTTCCATTAAAAATGTCGATTATTTGCAGAAAATGTAAAAAATGGATCTGAACGTTTAAATTTCGGTGGGAAATGTATTGATCATAAGAGAATCCTATTTTTATTGCTTCCTAAAGTATAACAGGTAATTTCAATAAATACAAAAGTATGTATATTAAATATTAATTATAACATTATTTTTGTTTACTTCGTTGAAGGATTAATGCGTTCCAAAATATAACTCTTACAATTTGATGGATTGATCATAAAATTTATGAAGAACTACAAAAAGAGTCCAACGTTTTACAATTTTTGGAAGTATACCAGTCAACAGTTGGAATATTAATACAGATTTCCTGAAAATTATCTTATTATAAGGTAATAATTCTAAATTGTGGATACATATGTACATTAAACCGACTCACTCTGTATGGAAAGCAAAAACGTGCTTTTGTTACCTCTCTCAAAATTTACCTTGCTTTGTTTTATGATGATTCCCAAAATATTTAAAGTCTAGCGATGACCGTTCGTGAGCTGGACCAAATTAAAAAAGGTATTTTGGAATTATTTTTTTTAATTTTTGTTTGTTTTGAAACAAAATATCCAATACGGGGTATCGTTTAAAAGGTATTTTAAAGCCGCGTCCAATGATGTATTAATCATAAATAACCGTCTTTTTATAATTGTCATATTCCAAAATATTTAAAATTGTTAGGTTTTTCACTAAAAAAAAAAATAAAATGTATGCACAATTTTGCGCACCACTAGACTTGGCTTCAAAAAACCTTTCAAATGATACTACATACTATAATGGACAACACTTAACAGAAAATATTTTGGGTAACATCATATTACATAACAGCGAATATTATGAGGCACCATTTTTTGTGAGTCGGTCTAATGTACATACATATATTACTTTTTTTAAATTAGTTGTTAAATCAATTATTTTTCTACTATTTTAATTTCAATTATTTCAATAAAAACTATAAAATTTCATTTTATTTAGATTTATTTTTATAGATTTTATTTTGGTGAGTATACAAATAGAAGAAGAGAATACTCTTCTTCTAGAAGAAGAGAAAACTCATCTTTTAGAAGAAGAGAAAACTTATCTTCTAGAAGATAAGATAGGAACACTTCTAGATGATACTAAGTAGTCACTTCAAGAAGTGACTTCCTATTTACATCTAGAAGAGTCTTTGGCAATACCTTACTTCCAAGAGTCATCTAGAAGTTTCTTCTGGGGGTCTTCCAGAAGTATCTTCCACGTTACTCTTAGACGTTCCCCAGCTCGGCATCAGTTCTTCCCGACTGGTGACAAGAATTCGTATACTTCCGCAACATCGCTGGCGAGCTTTTAGCACGTTTGGAAGTTTCATACGGGTAACTTCCGCAATAGAAAATGTTTGTAGGGAACAAACAACACTTATCACATTCAAGAAAATCATCTTTTTTTCACCTACAACCAAATTGCACTGGCTGCAGACAAGATTATTATTTTTGATACTGCGACGGTCTTCACTCATTTTATTTGATACGACACAGATGCAGAAAGGTTTATTTAATCAAATAAAATAAATATAAAACTTTTATTTTAAAACCGTTTATTTAATTAAAATAAATTTTTATAAAAAATAGTCAGATTATTGTTTGCACGACCGGATTGCCAACTCTTTTCCAAAAGTCAAGTCATTCTTTTATGTTCTTTTTTTAGAAGTGAAATTGTATTTAGAATACAACTAATTTGACTTAAATAATATTAACACTATTAAGGGAAATTGACACGATTAATACAAAATTCCAAAAATAAAATTAAAATTTTTTAACTCATAAAAATGTAAGAACAAAAAAATATATCTTCCGCATTAAAAACATAGAATTATTATTAATTATATCTTCGAAAGTTATTAAACATCACTTTCACAGAAGTTAAAAAAATTCACTTAGTTACTACTTTTGAAGTGGTGACAAATGTTATTCTTTTGGAAGTACTTTTATTTTGTTATTTTTGCTGGGTGAACAATTGTTATACTTACTATGTTTACTTTTTATTTAGCTATAAGAATAACTGAAATAAACATTTACAACTAAATTATCACCCGGTCCAACAATATGACTGAAGGTTCTACCATATTGATTGATGATAAACTTTTACAAGATGTTAGGAACGAACATGATCAAATTACTTGCAATATGTATAAATATAATGATGATAAAATTGAACTCGATGATGAATATGATGATGATGAGGAAAATTACACTAGCACAGATCAAGCTGATGATGATAACGATGAAGAGGAGGAGGGTGAGCGAGATTTAACAAATCTTACTTGGCTTATTGAATTACGCAATCAAACAATGGATTTTGTTAACATGACATTAGAGGAAGATATAAAGAAAGACAAAAACAAAATAGATATATCAGTTCCTACAGAACAAACTACAGTTCAGCAGGGATCTCAACATTGCCAAGAATTCGAAAATGAATTGGATTTTACACCTTTAACAGCTAAATTGGAACAGAAAAGTCAACGAGTCCACACGGATATATCTCAACACAAATCCAAAGAAACACGCGCAATTAAAATATCTAATCAACAAAAGCGACAATCACCTGCGGAGCGATACGAAATGTTTTTGAATAAAATTAAAAGGTAATTAATGTTAATAATGTCTTTAATACATACATACCAAAAGCAAAAACTTGGTAATGGGTTGTAATTCCATAACTACTAACATTTCAATGACTAGTACTTATGGTCTGCATTACTTAGAAGTACTCTGGTAATAACTTTCATATAATCTGATATAGAATTACTTTATTTTCGGCTTTGTTACTTTGCACATTTTGTTTGATTGCAATAAGCAGTGGTGCATTGAGTAGAACATTTAACTAACAAACCGAAGTTCCTGGTTCGTACATATTTTAGCTGGCTCTTTTTATACCCTCCACCACCATCAGTGGTGATAGAGGGTATATATAAGTTTGACATTCCGTGTGTAACATCAAAAAATATTCATCTGAGACCCAATGTATATATATTCTGGGTCCTTATGAAATTCTGAGTCGATTTAGCTATGTCCGTCTGTCCGTCTGTCTGGTTAAAACACACTCACGTTAAAACTAAGCAAATAAAACCAACCAAATTCACTGAGAATATTCATTGTTTTCCTAAGCAGTTTGGTATTGAAAATCAGCAAAATCGGTCCAAAACGTAAAAAGTTATGAGTACAAATTTCAGACTACCTAATAAAATTAAGTTTTTTTTTCCCTAATTCTTGAGTAGTTTTCTCAGAAACTACCAAAGATAATTCGACAAATTTTGTCACAGATTATTTTTTTCATCTATAATTAATTATGTTTAAAATTGTAATAATCGATCCAAAATTTCCCATAGCCCCCATACAAAGGTACATATTCCCGGAAATTAATTTATCGTTAATAACATCCTCAAATATATCGGTCCATAATTGGTCATAGCTCCCATATAAGGTTCACATCCGAAAATCACTTGTACGAGCTTAATTCATAGATAAATAAAGCTGTCTGGATAAAATTCGACATGAATGTGTTTTGTGTGTATATGAATTGCTCTACGAAATTTATTCCGGATCGGTCCATAATCGGTCATAGTTCCCATATAAGGTCCACTTTCGAAAATCACTTAAATGATCATATTTTATTGATAAATAAAGCTATCGGGATAAAATTCGACATGAAAACATATTCATGAATACATATTCATACATGTATATACATAAATCATTCTACGGAATTTTTTTCCGGATCGGTCCATAATTGGTCATATCTCCCATATAAGGTTCACATCCGAAAATCACTTAAACGAGCTTAATTCATTGATTAATAAAGTTATCAGGGTAGAACTCGAGGTGAATATGTTCTGTATAGATATAAATCAATTTGTAAAATTTTTTCCGGATCAGTCCACAATTGGTACTAGCTCCCATATAAGGTCCACATCCTAAAATCACTCAAATGCGCATAATTATTGATAAATAAAGCTATCAGGGTAAAACTCGACGTGAATTTGTTTTGTGTATAATCATCCGTGAATATTTTCCACATCGGTCCATAATTGGTTACATTCCATATAAGAAATTTCTTCAGCATCGGTCCATATCTAGCTCCCATATAAGGTTCACTTCTGAAAACCACTTAATGCCACATAATTTATTATTAAACTCGACATGAGTATGTTCTGTGTATAGATACCCTCCACCACCATCAGTGGTGATAGAGGGTTTATATAAGTTTGTCATTCCGTGTGTAACACCAAGAAATAGTCATCTGAGACCCAACAAAGAATATATATTCTGGGTCCTTATGAAATTCTGAGTCGATTTAGCTATGCCCGTCTGTCCGTTTGCCTGTCTGTGTAAAACACGCTCACGTTAAAACGAAGCAAGATAATTTAACCAAATTCACCCAAAATATTCACCATTATCCGGTACAGTTGGTATTGAAAATGAGCAAAATCGGTTCACATCGAGAAAAGTTATGAATCAAAATTTAAGACAACTCCGAAAAAATAAACATTTTTTACACATTCTGATGTAATTTTCTCGAAAACTATGCAAGATAATTTCATATATTCGTTTCTACACAATATCTTGATTCTTGCTGAAAATTGCCAGAATCGGTCCATAATTTCATATACCTCCCATTCAAAAGTACATATTCCCGGAAAATGAGTTTTTTGTTAATAACTTCCGTCAGAATGTTGATATCTTCATAAAAATTTTACAACTTAAAATCTTATGTCAATTCATTGAGAGAAAAAATTTTCTGGATTGCTCCATAATTGGACATAGCTTCTATACAAGGTCCCCTCCCGAAAATCACTTTAACGCGCATAACTCATTACTAAATTAAGATATCCATATAAAATTTGGAATAAGTATTGCTCATACGCACAGAAATATTAGTATGACATTTTTTTCGGATCGGTCCACAATTGGTCATAGCTCCTGTACAAGGCACAAATATTAGTATTATATTAATATTAGGTCCATAACATGGGTGCGTTCGGTCCCATGCAAATGTCCCTTCAGAAAATCACTTGAACACACATTACTTATTACTAAATTACAATATAGATACAAAATTTGACTGAAATATAGCTTTTATGTACAGAAATTTTGCTTAAAGAATTTTTTACGATCGGTTTATAATTGGCCATATCTCCCATATTAAGTCCTTCCACTAAAAGCAATTTAACCGTATTTAACTAATTGCATTATCAATTTGTGTAGAACAAAATTATATATATGTATTTTGAAAATCCTTAAATCTTTCACACACATGCACATTACTAAATATCGTTAAAGCATATTTTAGGTCGCTATAAAAATATAAAAGAAAATGAGGTTTGTAATGTTCAATAAATCTTGTAATTGTAACAGACTTAAGCTGTTTAAATCTTGGGGTTTTTCTATTTAAGACATGAGAAAACTTATTTCTACAAATATTTGATCAATTAAAAAAGTATTACTATAAAAATAGCTGGTAGAGGGTATTTAAGATTCGGCTCAGTCGAATATAGCACTCTAACTTGTTGTTATTAAAAAATTTAACAATTTACTAAACAACTTCTTTGTAAGAGAATTTGCAAGTACTTCTTTAACTCCCTATTTGTAAGCGAGCGTGGAAGTATTCGCCTCCAATGATATGACCGTGTTAAAATAATGACTTAAAATGCTAATGAAGAAGTAGCTTTTTAACTCATAACTTTTCAATGTAAGTTTTTCCTGAGTATGTACCCAGCAAAAAAAACTTCCAATGAAGCGAAAAAGCAGTAGAATTTACTCAATGGAAGTACTGGAAAAGACCTGAACAAGTGACGATTTTAACACAGGCTTGTCATAGGAGGAATCTGCTTTTTATTTGATTCCAAATTCGCTACTTATGAAGTCATTCTCAAGAAGTAATTTTTATGCTCTTTTTTTGTAAGTTATTCGGAAGTGAAATTATATTGTTATAAAATACAACTAATTTGACTTTAATAATATTAACATTAATAAAAGCAATAGATACATTTAAAACAGAAGCCCAAAAATAAAATTTTTTATCTCACAAAAATGTAAGAACAACAAAAATATCTTCAGCATTGAAAAAATAGAATTATTTTTGCTTATTAGGATGTCATTAAACATCACTTCCACAGAAGGTAAAAAAATCACTAATTGCTACTTTTGAAGTGGTGATAAATGTTATTCTTTTGGAAGTACTTCATTTTATTTTTGCTGGGTATGTATGTATCTATTCGATTCTTTTTGACATGACTAATTGATGTCGTTACGTGTTGTTCTTGTTTTGTTTATTTTTTATAATCACGCAAACAATGTACTAATTTTTTCACAGGGAATTGGAAATCTACGAAGAATCAGCTTTATATTATCAATCTGATGTTGTTCAAAAGCCTCCATTCAATTATTCGCATATCATTGGAATGGCTATGCTTGAAAATGGCAGACGTGTTACGTTGCAACAAATCTGTACTTGGATTGAAAGAAAGTTTGCTTTTTTTCGTGTGCGGAAAAAGTGGAATGTATGTATGTAACAAGAACTCCATAGAATAGTAATATTAAAATTATGTTGTTTATGTTATTTTTCAGAATTCAATACGGCACAATTTGTCATTACATCCTTGCTTCCGCAAAATCGGCCGCAATAAAGAGGATAAAGGAAAAGGTGGTTATTGGGAGTTAGGAGTTGATCCTAAAAAAATCGATCGAAAACGCATCCGTAATCGAAAATCGTCAGGGCAAGGGGGCAAAGCAAAAAATAAAAAATATATTAAAACGAAAAAGAAAAGGCAACAAAATATGACCATCAATAAAAAGATAAGTCTTAAACATATACAGGAAAATTTAAGAAAGTTTCCTGGTGAGTATGATTATGAAGAATTGCTATTAGATGAGATGGATGTACAACAAAACATTGATGTAATGAGCACAAACACAAATAGCCACAACAAAAACACTCACGACACAAGTTGTAAGCCCTCGCAAAGACAACGAATAAATCCAACAAACAAAATTATCAGCCCAGAGTCAGAAAAAATGTTATCAAATTATAATAATGCTGATGATTCAGTAGCTTTAGAACAAAATGAAGGTACACATTTTACCATCAACACAAATGAACAATCGCCATCAGAACAGTCATGCCAGCAGCAGTATAAATTAGACACAATAATTATAAGTTCGTCTGAAGTTGGTGAAGATATGCCAAGTATTCAAAATATAAATCCGCGCACACTTAACTCGTTCCTAACAACAAATCCCACAAAAAAACTAATATTTGATGAACAACAACAATATCATAAATGCATTGTAAGTATTTCAAAATTTACTATTTTAACTGACAAATTAAAGTAAACAGAAACATTTATTTGTTCTATAATGATAATTTAAAGAATTTTACAACGTTTAAACGTTCAAAACCCTCGTAAATTGTGCAACCTGCAGTAATGAATATATAATAGGTGGCGCAAAAGTATTCCTCCTATAAGAAAATGCTATAAATTTTGCGAGGCCCCTAATGTCAGTTTGTTTTGACATTTGTGTAGAAAACACATGCGAAATACACGTTAATAAATTACATGTAGGAGGATTACTTTTGCACCACCTGTTATAATTAAAACATATTTTGAATTTGTGTGTGAATTTTAAATAAAACTCTCTTCTATATATTTTATTTATTTTTATTTAATGTTTGAATTGATGAATAACTACTGAATCAATTTTACAATGAAGTTCTTATTTTATAATAGATCAAATTAACAATTAACTAAATTTAGATATGTAAGAAAAACATCAACTTTCCATAAATAACTAGTAAGAGTGTTATATTCGGTTATGCTGAATCTTATATACAAACCATTAGGTTACGTTGATAGGAGGATGTATAGTACATCAAATCCGAAGAAATACACCTAGGCCACTATCGAGCCTGTTGTGCGCTCCTGAAAAAAAATTCACTGAGTATTTTATTTTTCAATGTTCAGAAACTCAGTTTCCTGGACGTAATTCCTAAGAATTTTCCAATTAGTGTTAGTAAGGAATGTTATTTCCGGAATAACATCACTTCGAAGATATTTGTGTATATCCTTCCAATGTGTATACATTGATGACGTGTCCTATAACCACTTTTGGCCAGTTCGCCTAAAGAGCCGTTCGCCTGTCAGTGCCGCCTCATATCTTAAACATGTTTCAATGGGTAGAATATCTAGCAACGTTTTTAGAGCTTTGGTTGAAGTAGTACACATGGCGCCACTTATACGCAAGCAGCATGTACGCAGATCTCCCCGTAGTAGTTTGATATTACACTTCTTGTCCAAAGCAGTCCACCAGATCATTAAAGAATAAGCTAGAATTGGTCTAATTACACTTTTATAAAGCCAATTGTCATACTAGGACTAAGACCCTATTTCATGCCTATAGTTCTCCTACATATCCCCCAGCATCGATGTGCCTTGTTGATCCTATCCTCTATGTGGTGTCTCCATTTTAATTTCCGGTCGAGGATTACACCTAAGTATCAGACGTTCTGTGTTATACAGAACAGTACTGTATTTAGAGCCATGTTCTGTATAAATTATTCTTTGCTAAAAAACTTGAAAATGTTCTGTATTTGTTCAGTATTCAGTAAATTTATGAACTTGTACCTGACGGTAATTTTTTGAATTTTTACGTTTTACAACGATATGCATGAAATAATTGCATAAAACATCATTATTTACTATTCTGTTTACTTAGTAACATATTAGCGAATTTTGTATAATAAAAATTAGAAATTTAAATGTTGAAAAAATCATAAACAGGAAATCATAAGCAAACATAGTTAACATACATTCTTCAAAAAGGCCCGTATTTCATTTTCTCCTGTTCTGTATTTTGCTAAAAAAAATGTGGTCACCGTAAGTATACGTAAAAATTTTTGTCTTTCTTGTGAAAAGACAAATTTCCATCTTCGCCGAGTTAACATTGAGGCCTCTCGGTTGAGCCAAGCTCAGAGCCTCCTCCTCCTCTTCTACACAAGTAATTTAGATCCTTTCCCTTTAAAAGTATTACGACATCGTCTGCATAGCAGACAGGTCTAAGTCCTTGCTCGGTTAGGGTCCTTAGGAGGCTATTAATCGTTGTAACCCAGAGTAAAGGTGACAAAATGCCACCCTGCGGTATACTGCGAAATACCTTTTTCCTGATAGTTATATCGTACATCCATCTGTTCCTTAGCATGAAGTTGATCCGTTACGGAGCACCCGGTCAACATAAAACTGGTCTAGGGATTGAATAAGAGTATCAGCGTTATTGAAGGCGGCTTCGATGTCAATGTATACCGCCAGTGTATAAAGTTTGCTATCGAAGGATTCACATATGTAGTGGACAACTTCGTTTAAAGTGGTTTTCACCGATCGTCCCTTTACATAAACATGCTGCTTAAATTTAAGGTCTTTGTTTGGTATACTGCTTTTAACCATATTATCGACTATCCGTTCCAAGGTTTTAAGTAGGAAGGACGTAAGACTTATCGGTCGATAGGACTTAGGTGTCGCATAGCTAGGATTCCCTGGTTTGGGTATAAATATTACCCTTGCATTCTGCCATTAAATGACAATCATGCAGTGAATATGTGAGACAAATTGAAACGTATAAAATTTCGTTAGCAATAGGACTTTTTTGATTTCGTCAAAAATTTTAATAGTACAATTACATTTCGACTAAACCTTATATTTTAGAGAAAATTATCCAATGAGGTACAATAAAATAAGTTCCTTACAAACAAAATCGGTATTTTTTGACTACCTCTAATGTACATATTTGTATTTTCTTGGTAAAAATAAAAAAAAAAAACGAATTGATCTTATTTTGTTATGCTATCTTGATACGATTAATCTTATATTCTTCATTCATTCCTAGAGAAAACTCATACATTATTTGGTAATGAGTGGTGATGAGTAGTCATTATCAACAATATTATTTTATTTATCTGAATTTGTACTTACGGATATAGAGCAAAGTAATTTGGAAATGTTATAGCCCAATTGTCTAGCGCGTCTATTTAACAAACAAGAGGTAGGTGGTTCTTGAAATGAGATTGATTTATATTTTTGTAAAACTGTTCACAAAGTTACAATAAGACAAGTAGTTAATGGACGATTGAGCAAACAGCTGGATTAAGAAACACTGACAATAACTGAACGCCTGGGTTCAAATCCCGGCTGAGGAAAATTTTATTTTTGTAATTACAATCAGAATATTATTTCTTCGTTTTTAGTATGTAGATTTATAAATAATTATTCATTTACAATTTGTAACAAACTAAATAACTCATTATTCACAATGTAAGTAAATTGGTAACCACATACTTATTTGTTGGTCAATGTCAAGCAAAAATAAGTAGTTATTCCCTCCAAAAGTAAGTAGTTTCTACTTGTTTCCAATATTACTTTCTGGCTTACCAGGTATGTAAAGATTTTGCTGGGTACTTACGTGTTGGTTGGTTGGTTGGTTGGTTGGGGATAAAAACACTTTTTTGTTTTTATACCCACCATCATAAAATATATTGATTTTTTCATTCCATTTGTAACATCGAAATGTTGGTCATAGACCCACAAAAGTTTATATTCTGGGTCCTCATTAAATTCTAGCCATGTCTGTCCGTCTGTCTGTTAAAAGCACGATATAGTCCTAATGAAAAGAGAATAGCCCTCATACAAGAATGGCCCCAAAACAGTTTTAGCGATGAAATTCGACATACAGTCTGCATTTAAAATCCTAATATCTTGAAAAAATACAGCATATCGAAAAAAAATTGTTGTTTATGTATAAAGCTTATTAATTAATGTTTATTTAAAGAAAAAAGAAATGGGTAATATATTTTACATTGTCAATAAAACTAAAATGTTAAAAATTCACGTAACAAAAGTCTACTAACAGTTATCTTAGATTTTAAAGAGTTATTTTTAGAGAAAAAATTTGTATTTGTATAAAAATACATCAGACACACCCATTTTCAAAAAATAGGGGAAAATTAATTGCCAAATGTTGAAAAAAAATTATTCTTGAGTTAAAAAATTATTTTTTGATAGATATCCCACTCGCATCCCATTATGGGACTATAAAGCTCTTCAAGGAAATTTTATGAGCTTTATTTTAAGCAAAAAAAGGGTAATTTTGAAAAAAAAAATTATTTTTTTTTATATTTAAAAAAAATTAAAAAAATGTTTTGGAAAGAATAAAGATATAGCTATCTGTACTCCTTTACACAATTTTTGCGAGCACCAATAAGTGAAAATTTACACTCATTTTAATAAAACCCTGTATGACCAAAATGTTCAATTTTGACCCTTTCTGACTCCGGCAGTTCTTAACCGATAAAGCTGAAAACTTGTGTCTCGCCTACTATCAAAGAGTACTAACCTTGGTACATGAAATTTCCCATATATAAACCAAAATCGGTCTAAACAATTTTATGATAACTGAACCTACCCTTCATATGTACATTAGACCGACTCACTGTGTATGGAAAGCAAAAACGTGTTTTTGTTACCCCTTTCAAAATTTTCCTTGGTTTGTTTTATGATGATTCCCAAAATATTTACGCTTGTATTTATAAAAAATCTTATTTTGCTTTTAATGCACTCAATAGTTAAAGCATACTTTAGCCTTAAAAACCATTAATAAAATTGTGATATTCATAAACAAATAATAAACGTATATTAACTATTGTGCTGATTTATGTTTAAGTTGGCAGCACTGTACAATATGGCTGTCATTTTATGTGTTAGTGTTGCGTACAATTAGGATAAAATATTCGTTGATTCGGTTTTCTTAATTTCATATTTTTGTTTATAATAGATTTTTGACAATAAAAACAAACTTTTAAGAAAAACTAGAAGTATCTGTGCAAAATTTCAGCTCGCTAGCTGCTTTCATTTGGACTCTATCGTGTTTTCAACAGACAGACAGACGGACAGACGGACGGACATGGCTAGATCGTCTTAGAATCTTATAAGGACTCAGAATATATATACTTTTATGGGTCTTAGATGAATATTTTTTGATGGTGGGTATAATAAATATATATATGGCTTTAATAAATGTTTATTTAGTTCAGATGTATAAATATAACATATAATTTCTAATTATTATTAAAAGTATCCGAATAACGGATATTTTGCGACAAAATATACATCACTATGACACATTTTCTTATTTTTACTTATTTTCCTTGTAATTTTTGATAAATTTTTGCAAATATTGATAAATTTCTTTGATATTTGACTAATTTTAATGCCGGCGAATATATTTTGCATTAGTATAACACT